GTCCAATCCATTCCGGAAACCTCGCCCAAAGCATAGAAAAACCGCAGAACGTCGCGACCCAGGGGTCCCTCTTTCCTAGAACTCCTGTAAAAACATCATACAGGATTCAGCAGGACCTCCTGACACCGGAGTTCAATAAAAACACAACACATGTACGGATGTTTTCCTTGTATATTCCTCAATCCCCCCAGCTGTTGAACATAAGAACAGCTATTTCCCATATGCTTCATCCACCTTGCTTCTCAGATTCAGGAAAAAATAATTACAGATACATTGTTGCGCACGGTTTTTACACTACAATCCCACCCACCACACACACACACTCCCATCTTTCTGCTCTTGCGGAATCACTTTACACACATTATATTGGTGATTGGTTGGCTGAAAGGAGCACGTGTTAGTGAGATCCTTTAAATTGCTCGCGAACATTGCATCTTACAGAGTAGTATTATTTGCGGGTTTGTTAAATATTAGCCTATACATAGTGCGGTCTCTGTAAACTACCAGCATGGTAGACAAGTTTGTAGGAACGTGGAGAATGATATCCAGCGACAATTTCGATGATTATATGAAGGCTTTAGGTAAGAACTAGTGTCACCAACCACCTTTAGTGTAAAAATTAGATGCGTCGGAGGTTTAAGGGTATATTTCTGAAAGGATTGTTATACAGTTTTAAAAAAAAGTTAAAAAGGTACATTTTGAAGAAACTGGTTTAAGTTACGCCAAATGTATCCTCTTTTTTGGTTCTACTAATTCAGTTGCACCACCAGTGTAATATCTACTTATTTTGTGAGGATTTAATCTAGGTCTGAAAATCAGGCTTGATGTTAATTATTTAGGGATGTTTCTTAAGGATAATTCTTGCACCTGGATTTGTTGCCGTTGGCTACCTTACTTAGTCTATGTTTCCTACAAATTGTACGATGACAAGGTTTCATATACTTACAAAACGTGCTGGAAATATGCTGCATAACTGGACGCAATTTCGGGGATTTTGCAGGTGTCGGCTTCGCAACTCGGCAGATGGGAAACATGGCCAAACCGAACCTGCTGATCACCGTGGACGACAAAGGAGTCATTTCTATGAAATCGCAGAGCACCTTTAAATCGACGGAGATAAACTTTAAGCTTAATGAGGAATTCGACGAAATCACCGCCGACGACCGCAAAACCAAGGTACGTGGGATTTTACCATTGCTTTCTACTGGGACAGTGGTCGCCTACTAAATACCTGGACGAACGATGTACACTTATCTGAGATGCTCTTACCCCAGACCAAAATAACGCTTGAAAACGGAAAACTTATCCAAAAGCAGAAGTGGGATGGAAAAGAAACAACGATAGAGCGAGAAGTGCAGGATGGAAAATTGATAGCGGTAAGATACCATTTGCAGCTCATATCGTTGCATCCGAGAACGCATTATCTTTAGAGGTGTAATTTCCTGGAGTCGTAGGCAGGATGGATCGAGTGTATCCGCATGATTGACCTTTGGGGAAATACGTGTTGCTAAGCATTTAGTTGGTTTTGATACCTTTCAGGCTTTCAGGATGTGAAATACCTTCTCATAAGCATATATATGAGTTATATCAGCCCCTGGAAACGAACACCTGAATTTGTTTATTTACTCGCAGCTGTGGATACTGGTACATTGCCAGTATACATTTCCCACCCTTTTGGTCCGATGTTGACCTCACAGGATGCAAGTTCTGTCATAAATGCTGGAAGCAATTGACCCTTTCAAAGTGTGTAGTATTTGTGCTCTGATGTCTGTGTCTCTGTTGCAGAAATGCACAATGAAAGGTGTTGTGGCTATCAGGACCTATGTGAAGGAAGCTTGAAGCAACGGCTACACTCTCACAAAGACTGCTTCCCTCTCTGTCTTCCTGCTTGCTAGTACTGGTAGTATATACATGTAGTCCCCAATGTTATCTGGTGCTCTGAATAAAAAAAGGTTTGAAGAAGAATGAGTGGGTATTCTGTTCTTCAGATTGATCAAATAGTGAAGCATGTTCAATAGCCATGCTTTCTAGGGGCATGAGAGCTCCAGGCATATTTCACGATCACCGAAAGGGTGTCTCTGCCAACAAAGCTTTATTGTAATAATATTCATCTCATAATTCTGTTTGCGCATTAAGTCCAAAGCATATTAGCGGGCAAGCAAAACATTCCACTGATTCCAGAACACTGTTTGGCAAGTGTAAACTGGAATTTCAAAATCCAAAAAAGTTCTAACCTCAATAAATTCTTGTACAGGAATGATTTTCCTTATGTTTTATAATGTTTTCACAAAGAAAATAAAAAATTTTATCTGGTAGGAAAACAGATGTACACTGACAGCCAAAGGTTTTGAACTTCTGGATTTTTCTACATTTTATTCCAGTTAAACACTAGCAGTGCCACATACAAGACAAAAATGGTACAGAATGGCAATTAAGGAAACATTTTAGACAAATGAGAAACACCATCCATATAGTAAAAAAACAGGCTAATGCATCATAATAGCTGCCTTTTCTGGTGATTAGAGCTGAACAAACTCAAACATTCTATCAATGAATGTCTCGAGACATTTTTCTGAAAGTTCCCACCAAAACTGGTGGTTAAGTTCCCACAAATCTGCACTCATTGGTTTGGTCTTTCTATCCATTTTGTTTTCATCTCAGTGTGGTTAAGATCTAATTAGTGTGCAGACCATGACATCACAGGTCATTCACTATCGTTCTTCTTTGTGAAGTTGTGACTGGCTGTTTACAATGAGCAATGAAAACTGGTAAAACTGATGATGCTGTTTTTCACCCAAGTACACCTAAAATACACAATCTGAAATGTTTTAGCTGACTATGTGGAAGTACTCACACTGTCAGAAAGGGCACCAATATGTACCTTTGCTTGTCACTGGGGCTGTACCCTCAAGGGTCTGCCAATTGTACCCTAACTGTAGTTAGTTGTACCTTTTAAGGTACAGAAATGGATTCAGGAACATTTTTGTACCATTGGGGGTTCATTAATGTTGTTTGTACATTGGGGATGTTCCTCAGAGTCCATTTCTGTATCTTAAAAGGTACAATTACTTACAGCTATAGGATGCAACTTGCAGACCCTTGAGGGCACAGCCCTAGTGACATGGTACAAATAGATACTCTTTTTTCTGACAGTGTACCAGTTATCTGTATTTTTACAGGACACAACAAATTTCACCTCTCTTTGTTATAGAGATGCAGTTCTGAACCACTTCGAATGATTCCTTTAATAACAATAATGAAAGTAAACACCCAGAAAAATGTCACAGTAAAGCTGTTGTTGTCAATAAATACCAGTATAGATAAAAATATAAATTTAACACCTGAACACCTTGTATGGAACATACTGTATACATTGAAAATATTTTCATTTTGAGACTACTTGCGAGGAGAACTCCACATCTGAAATCATTTAACTTCAAAGGCAATCAACACTTAGCAAGGAGAGAGTAAAGAACTGAAAGAAGACCAGCCTGTTTGGTACAAATCATTGAACTGGTTCACTTTGTTCCTTCATTCTGGCCTTTTTGATAAATTTTTTTGTTTGAAGTACCACATATTTCTTTGGGGGGCTCATTTCAACATCTGAGTCCACTTCTGGCCCATTTGAATTTTTTTCTTACCAATTTCCTAAAAATTACTAATAATGCATGAGAGGTAACGCATATAAAGGTGAACATTTTGCCCCTCTTTTTATCCTGTTGACACAGTGTAGCTGTCGTGCCGAAGATATGATTTAATATCAATAACATCACATCCGTTGTGTGATTTAGCGACATCTGGAATTCTCTGCTTAAAGGCAATCACAATTGCCTCCACCCTTCCATTGTCTCCAATGACACGAGATTCAACCTTATCTCCACCTTGCTGTTGTTTCCCCTGTATTAAGAAACGCACATATCCCTGCACTGTGCATAAAGACACTGCAAGGAGTTTGTCCTGGAAAAAAGCCCTAAGTCATGTTTGTTTGTGTTACTTTTCAAAATGACAAATAGGAGGATTGTAGATATAATCACAGCATTCCTTACTTTCATGGGATGCATCCTGCCATCTGCTCTGAGTGAGTAGTTAATTTGGTCATAGTCTCCAGGCTGTAGAGCCACACTGTCATGGACACCTTATTCTTATTATAGCTACTGGCATTCATAATAATAGAAAATAATCAGTAATGCCCACTCCGTTTGACCTTGCAAGACAAAACGATGTTGGAATAAAATGTCATTCCCAGTGCCACATAGTGATGATGAACTAAACAGGACTGTAACTCATCAGAGATCTAATTATTCACAACATTCCTAGACACTAATCCTGCACCACCTGGTATTACATTGTGCAACATTGTGTTGTATCTCTTTTGACTCACATTGCATACTGTATGTCATATTGTGTCATACTTAATTTGTTTTATGTGTTTTAATAAATGTAACCAACTCACCAGAACAAGTTCTTTGGACATTTTCTCACAACCAATCTGATTTTTATATTGGAAATGAATGAAGAAATTGGTGCACATTTTTAAATGTAATTAATGTGCTTTTAAGTATGTTCTTACCTGTAGTAATAAATTAGTAATATTCTTACTGCTATCATATCTTAGTAGTATTATGCTTGTATTAGTAGTCTATGTAATATTATGTTATTACTTATATATTAATTAACCACAAACTAAGTCTAAGTTGCAAAATGACCTCATGTTCATTCATCATTAGCCTACTGAATCATGAAAAATCTTTTATTTCAAGCAGTTGCTATATTTCTTACTATTTCTAATTCTGTAAACCTTTGTGAACTACTGAAGGAACAAGTCATGAATAACACATGAAATACTGATCTCATGTTTGTTCATCATTAATGAATCATGACGCGTCTTTTATCTCAAGTAGCATCTATATTTGTTCATGATTTGTACTTCAGCAGCATCTGAATTACTATTAAATATTTGTGCCCCTTTAAGTAAAGTGTAACTGTTTTATATTGTTTAATGTTGCCTTGCCCATCCAGGGTTTAGGGTTCGAATCCGGCCCCAGGCCTGTGTGGAGGATGCATGTTCTGCAGGTTTTTTTCAGACACTCTGTCTTCCTCATGAAGTCCAAAGACACACAGTTAAGTGACTTATTGGTCCCCAAACTGCCCATGTGTGTGTGACCAAACGGCAAACTCCGACAACCTGTTCATGGAGTACCACTGCCCTTTCCGACATCATTTTGTGTGTGATAGAAACCACTTGATTACTTTCCTTCCTTAGTATATTCTTAGAACGCAATAAAAATTCAAAGATGACCCAAATAATTCATGTTTACGTCTTTCTCTAGCTTTCCACAGTGACATGCTGAAGCCATGAGACACTGAGCCACTTCAGCCCTGAAGCTCCACGTTAGTTTCTGGTTCCCAACCAGAAGCCAATCCAGAAGTCAGGTAGCTTCTGAAAATGTTAAATTCTATTTTAAAAAGTGTACTAGATGAAGCATTAATTGAAATGGTGTCCAGCTCAAACTGCCAGCTGAGTTAGAAATTGACCCCAGGCTCAACTGTAAATGTGCTACACCTACATCCACATGGTGGAGAGCTAAAGAGGCTTCTGAGCTGTGATAAGTTGTGGGTGGGTTGTTGGGAGGATTGAGTGAGGAGAACAATTGGTGTATAATGACAATTCCATGAAACATGAGCTGGGTTTTTTCTTGCAGCACTTCTGGCAGCTTTAACCGTTTCCGTTCTGGGCCACGCACACAAGGGAGGAATAGCCTTTTGGCCCTATCATCGAGCCTGTGGTAGGTGTGTGGCAATAACAACAAACCCCTATCTCCTATACAACCTTTTAGACTTTAATGCTCCTTCTTTATAATAAGTCTATGGGTATCAGTGTCAAACGTTTTTTTAAATGTTAAATATCTGTAGTAAAAGAATGTAAGAACCAAGGGAATATGGTTGCAAGAAGCAGATAAAAAAATGATCTTGCAAAATGTAAGAATTGCGCAGCTCCTAAATTCTCCTTTCAGCTCATTTATCTGAAACACAGAAAAAAATCTATATTGGGGGAGCAACAAAATCAAGATCATACACAGGCATGAAGCAAATTCTTTATTATGTTTTTTACAGGCCCACACCTTTCCCCATAGCCCATAGCCCATAGCCCATAGCCCATAGCCCATAGCCTGAAACCATGTGATTTCTAATTCTCATAGACAAATTCATGCATGGAGGTCTGAACAGGAAAAATCTTGTGAAAGACGGCTTCATAATAAACCCAGATACATTCACAAATGACCTTCAGCTTGAAATTCAATGTCAAATGAAGGCTCCTATAGTGAAAAGGCCCTTCAGTACTCATATGTGGCTGACTGTTGATTGACTTCTTTTTTTATCAAAGGCGTACAAGCTCTGAAAACAAAAAACCATCTCAACCATTCTCTGGTGAGTTGTAATGAATTTTTTCATTATTTTTAAAGGGATTATCAGCCCAGGAGTCCAGGGTCATTCTCTCCACATCCACTGTGCCCCCTACATACTAACGACTGCTCTTCAAAGGATGCATCTGTGAAACTTCACAGATTTACAGCTGACACCATCCTGGTCGGCCTCAACTCCAACAATGACGAGTCGGCCTCAACTCCAACAATGACGAGTCGGCCTCAACTCCAACAATGACGAGTCGGCCTCAACTCCAACAATGACGAGTCGGCCTCAACTCCAACAATGACGAGTCGGCCTTCAGGGAGGAAGGGAGCTATCTTGTGTCCTGGTGCAGCCACCATAGCCTGGAATTTAACACTCTCAAAACTGAGGAAATGTTTACAAACTTCCGAAAACAATCCTTTTTTCAGTCACTCCCCTCCTGTAGCAGGCTCAAGGGGCTAAAACCAAAACTCAAGGCCACTCGCATGGTTTCTAACCCCAAGCTGTAGCTATTGTGTTCTAGTCATCCTTCCCAGCTCCCAGAATAACTCGATGCTGAAAAGTCCCTGATCTGCACGCTGCACTTTACCTGCCTTTTACTCGACGCTCAAAGCTGCCCCCACCGCACCCAGCCGCTCACCTTCTCCTTCACAGGACAATCCTTCTTTGCACATTTCTGAACCTCATAACACAGAAAAAAAGGCAACTGTATGGTGAAATAAGTCAAATAACCATGTTTGTCATCAGCACTGTCTCAATCCCTGATTTATGCCCGTGTGCGACTCAGATCTTAGCCTCAGTAGGGATGGGGGGCAGCAGCAGTCTCAGCCGTGGGGGGGCGTGTGGATGTCAGCATTGGCCTGTGAGGGCTGGTCTTCTCGCGTCCAGCCTTGAGGTAAACACACAAACAGCCTACTGTTGGACGGCACCAGGAGGCAGATGCCATGGATTCCCACTCCTCTGTTATGTTTAATATGCAGCAGAAACAAAGCCTCATTCTTCACACTTGTTCTATGGAGCCTTCTCATTCTGGGCCACACAGAGGTCTCTGTGTTCAAATCCATCTATCTGTCCATCCACCCACCCATTTTTGTGCCGCCGATCCTGGTTGGTCTTACTGAAATTTCAAAGTTCACATTTTTTACTTCATTCTTACCTGTATACTTTAAAGTCCCAAAGTGAAGCCGACGCATTACATAGAGAGCAGGATAGAAACAAAAACAAAATAATTTGCAACATTTACGTTTCAAAATATGACACAAAGAGGCTTTGATACATTTATTAGCACTTTTCTGTTGAAACAATGCATTTATTTGACAGTAAAGCTCAAATAGATGTATTTGAAAAATAGAGAAAAAATACAAAAACTGTGTTTGTCTGAGACCCATATACAGTCACAGGATAACCTTAAATTTTTAAAATATGTTTTTCCTAATAAATAGCAGGTTGGGGCTTGAGGTATTGAGCAGGGTGTCTGTTTTGTTTTGTTAGCAAAACAAATTAATCTAAGTTAAAAATAGCACAATTTACATTCCACGAATGCATTCCTGAACTGATTGCTCACTAAGTGAACTCATTTAGCTTACATCTAAAATAACTATGGGTAACCAAATGTCCTTAGCCAATGTCAGCATTAGACTTTTGCAAGTCCGTTTTCGAAAAAATTACAGGTCACTACTAGGTCAGACATATACATGCCGTACTGAATGAAAATATAAAGATCAGCCGAGAGCCAATCATACCTTTCTGCTTAAACCTAAAGACACATATGTAACTGCTGTTTACTGGAATATACTAATTTCTGAATATTAGAATAATAACTAAACAACACATGAAGCAAATTTGTGTCTGTAGGTCTTGTTTTTTTACTATAGAAATGTCTGGAATAATACTCAGTCAGCTGTGCCAGAAATCCTGTGAGATGTTTTCCTCTTCAGATCATAAGGGACAGTATCTGACCCTGGAGGCCATTTTTCTATGTTAGTCTTTGGATGGAAGAAGAACAGCAATAGCGAAACAGTTGTTTTTTTTTCTGTGGGAAAATCTGCAGGGCGCTGAATAGGAGCCCCTCGGCTCTGGGACCCTTAAGGCAGGGGGCAGTGGGTGGACAGTGCATCAGACGCAGCTGCATAGCTTGCAGCGAGTCAATCAAAGCCTTTTTGCTTAACCCTAAAGAAGCTTAAATAACAAGATCAGCTTAGGCGACGGCTAAGTATTTTTATATGGTCAAAAATTCCAATTAAGTGGGTTTGGCTGTTTAAGAAAGTCAAATCAGATAAATCCAGTAAGGTGGACTTAAAGAAAAGGTATGTGTCCTTTTTATGTGTGGAATTTACCGTGACTTTTGTTTTCATCACAGCCAGTGTTCTGTCACTAAGCTCATTGTACAAACTATATGAAAGCCCCATGGACCCCCACCTATTCGCAGCACTAAAGAATGCAGAACTGCAGGCTGTACAGGAATATGTAAATCCATATTGCCATCATTCTCCATTTTGCATTTAAACAGTTTGGTTCCCTAAACTCTCTTGAACATTTTCTTGTGGTTCTCCAGTTTCTGTAAATAGAGTATTAGAAAAATTGCACAACACCTAACACCCCCCAGAAAAAACACAGATTCCCATTATCGTACAAGTTACTAAAGCTGAATATGATAACGGACCCCAGAACAGCCGCTGGCCTGTAGGGAGTGGGAAGGTTCACCGCCAGTACATTAAGCATTTTATTATGCACTGTAGTATTGACATTCCTTAATTAGTTTAGGAAATACCTGCAACTCACATGCACTCGGGGGGGGACAGGGGCCAATGAATATGTGAAACTGGGCAGAGGGGCGGCGAAAGTAACATTCTGTCAGCAGGCCCAGGATTTGTAGGTACAGCCCAGCATGCGGCATCAATTACATCATTAGCGCAAATGTTTTTAAAGACTTAAATGACTGTTGTTAGCCAATGTGTATGACTTTTACGGCACGTTAGTCATTTTTTGTCACTTTTAGTCACATTTTTGTTGCATTAAAGAAAGCACAGCTGCAGGCTGTACACAAATAAGCCCGTCTAGATCTATTAGTACCCAGGGTAGAAAGAACTACGGCAGACTGCAGAGCTTTCTCTTATAGTGCTCTGCTGTTGTGAAATAGTCTCCCAGTGGATGTGCAGGATTCAGGTTCACACACTTCTTTAGTCTAGTCTATAGGGACTCTAGTTCTAGCTCTAGCTAACTGCACACTCCCAGTTAGACCCCTAGTGTGAGGTGTAGAGCTGGGTGGGGATTGGTGCCATTGGCCTTGGATGAGCTGAACTGTCTGTCACTCTAGCTTCACATCCCCTTGTGGAATTGGAGTGCTGACGTTCAGGGACTCTCCATGCCTGTGTTCCCACCAGCCTCTCCCTCCTACATATGCTGCCATGGCCTTACATACTGCACTCACCTAACTGTTTGCACTGCCTCTAGTCTCCCCTACTTTGGCTAACTGCACCTTTTATTTTCCTTACTCCTCCTGAGCTGTGCTGCCTGGAGACCCCAAATTATCAAGATGTCCTGCCTACCTGCTACCTGCGACATCTCCAATACCTGCGGCATCTTTCCTGCCTGCTCGCCCTTCCGCCTGCGGCGTCTTTCCGGCCTGCTCGCCCTTCCGCCTGCGGCGTCCTTCCTGCCTGCTCGCCCTTCCGCCTGCGGCGTCTTTCCTGCCTGCTCGCCCCTCCGCCTGCGGCGTCTTTCCTGCCTGCTCGCCCCTCCGCCTGCGGCGTCTTTCCTGCCTGCTAGTAAAAACTTCAAAGAAAAACACAATATAGTGTGGCAACGGGCGGACCAATGCATCGCTGGAGCAGAGAGAGACAGTGAAGTCTAGGGTGACCAGATAATCCATGTCAGGGAGGACACTCTGAGCCAGGACAGGGATTGTAAATTACCATTTCAATTAGACGGACCTGGATTTCACTTGAGCACTGAGTTCTTGCTGTGTGCTGATTGATCAGTCTCCTTTCATTCAATGAAACAAACCAGTCAAAGCACAAGAAGAGCTGAACTATTTAGCCGAGCACAGGAGCCTTTCAATTCTAAAGTAGTTTGTAAAACACGAAGTAGCTCAAAGTGACATGGATTATCTGGTCACCCTACTAATCACTTGATGTGACTTTTATTTATTGATATAAATCCCTGACCAGTTTTGTCTTTTCTCAATTTATCAGAGGGGAATGATTCTGTCCCATCTGGAACTTTCTGGCTTGAACCTCGTTCTAGGAGCCAGCCTAAAACGGAAGGGAAAAAGAGAGAGAAGAGGTGGGATTC